CGGGCTGCACTGCCGCTGCAGCAGGTGGGCAGCGCCGCAGTGGGCGAGGCAGGAGTGGGCAGCAACGCGCTGACTCTCTCTCTCTCTCTCTCTCTCTCTCTCTCTCTCTCTCTCTCTCTCTCTCTCTGTGTCCCTGTGTGTTCTTACAGTGGTCACCGCGAATGCACGTTGCAAAGGTAATGGTCCCGTTACATTGGAAATTCACAGTCAGACTGCGAATTCTGAATGTATCTGGACCATTAACTGCGCCACATGCATTCGAGCGACTACTGTAAAAAGCCAGTAAGAGAGAGAGAGAGAGAGAGAGAGAGAGAGAGAGAGAGAACGCTGCAGCAGGAGCAAGCAGGAACGGGCTGCAGCCGGGGGGAATGCTCTCTCTCTCTCTCTCTCTCTCTCTCTCTCTCTCTCACACACACACACACACACACACACACACACACACACACACACAACCCTCAGCCCACACCTCTGCACCCTGTGGCGCCTGTGCAAACCCGTTCAACCCGTTTAGCCTCGTTCAATGAACGCCCGTTCAATGCGTTCAAAACATGAACGCGAAACGCGCGTTCATTGAACGCGCGGTAACACAGGCGGAGAGAGGCCCTCTCTTGTCTTCTGAGGCACAGTTCCACCCGAGTCATGTGAGATGTCGTCTATGATGGGAGAAGTCAAGTAGACGACGTTATGTACGACGATGACTCTTATCGGGTTGAACTTGTATAGGAGCTCGGCACTCAGTCGTAGCCTGTCGGGAGCACCCCTCCACTTGGTGTGAGGGAGCCTGCTCCAATCATGTACTCACTCGTAGGATCGAACATCGATCCAGTGTCAGATCGGCATTCTTGTGAGAAATGAGCCGCAATTCGATTGGCGCTAATCCAGACTGAGTGACCAGGCCCTATGTCTCACCGCTTTGTTAATTTGTGGTGGAGTCGCTGCGATCTCGCCTCCTTGCTACGTTGGCCCCTGGGATCGATAGCGTTTCCTTCCAGTGCTTTTACGTTCCACCTTGCAACGTTCCTACTACAGTTGAAGCTCCCTTCAAGTGCGGGGTAAAAGTTCTGCCTTCAATTTACCCCTACTTGCTTCGTACTCGAACTATCGGAACTGCTTACTAAACTTCGTTCCAAGGAGGTGAGACACTCACAACTGCTCGATTACTGTTACCACGAGAGTTAGAACTGATGTAGGAGGCATGGCTTCCGATCACCCTCACCCTTCTTCTTCTTTGGCCGTCTTCCCTGATATCTCGTACGCAAGTCAGTGCGAGGCTTCCCGACTTACTTGCTACCGGTTGCTCCTGCCTCGTTGATGTCCTTCATTTACTATCTTGGTTACCGGCAGGCATATGCCTGCTTCCCCTGACCAGCAAACCTCGTGTTTAGCTTTTTCGACTTCTACCCTAATTTCCACCTCGTGGTACTCTTCTCACCATGGTAGCTTCAGATTGTCCAGATGCATATAACGTTTCCTCGCTTCCGAGTCCTTGCCGAGCAGCCTTGACTGAGCCCGGAATATCTTACCATTCGACTACGTGACTTCGTCTCCCTCAGTCCTTCGGTCGGGAACGCCTAACGTAACCAGCTATGGATTACCAGGGTAACAGCCGCCGAAAGGCACAGCCTCTCCTCCGTCGAGGAGGAGGGCGACTCGTTTCTCCGTTCCCCGTCTCGACGGCGAGGGTGACGGCCCGGTAACGCCTCTCGCGCTACCCACGCGAGCCGACGGCCGCTTCGGAGCGGAGCGCTACGCTACTCCCCCGCACGCGACCGCTCCGACTCCTCACCCATTTTCCAGCTTTTACCCTGTTCGGTATTCGAGGCTTTTCTTGTGTGTTGCCTGCAAAAAAACAAAAAAACACAAAAACAAAAAGTTTTTGGGCCCCCCAAAATTTTTTTGCGGGCCGCGCCTGAAACGATTTCGAATTTCGTTTTGGGTAAGGGGGGGACCGTTTCCTAGTGGTCGCAGGTCTGAGCGCGGCCCGAAACGATTTCGAATTTCGTTTTGGGTAGGGGGGCCCCGTTTCGTAGTGTTCGCAGGTCAATACTGGCAGGGCTTCGGCGGGCTGTTTAGTCGTTGCAGCCGCGTCCAGTCCACTCCAGGAAGCAGCCGCGTCCAGTCCACTCCCGGAAGCAGCACCGTCAGACGGCGTCAGTCCCCCGCTACGACCAGCGCCGACCTCTGCCTGCATCATCACCGAGGATGATATCCGGAGCGAGCATCGCCGACTTCAACCCTCCTCCAAGGTGAGTCTTCACCAGCTCTCCTGCCCTCCCTCGAACTCACCTCCTCCTCCTCCTCCTCCTCCTTCTCCTCCACATCTTCCCCTTCCTCCTCCTCTCCATGTTGGGCTCTGCTCCCCGATGGTGCGGAAATCTGGGTGCATTCTAACATGGCCCGTCGTGCGACGTCCAAACTCAGGTCGGCCACTTTCTCCTCCTTCCTCTCTTGACAACCCTCTCTTCCTGCTCAGTCCCAAGTCATGAAATGTGGCTTCTTCATCTTGGTGTCTGTGTGACGGTCTACGTGCGTGTGTGTGGCTGTGTG